GAGGCTGCTGCCGAGCTTTAATGTCAAACAGCGGGAACATTGTGCCACATAATCTGTGATATTCACGTGCATACCGGGCCAAAAACAAAGCCTTCGCATACGATCCCACATATGTTGCTTACCGAAGTGACCGCCCATGTCATGAAACTTATACAACAAGGGTCTCCTCATAGAGTCTGGAATAACCGGAACAAAGTGTTTCTCATCTTCCGGGAGATACTTTACCATACGCACCAGTAAACCGGACTCATCCAAAAATAACACCGACCAAAGCTTCCGATAAGGCCGAAAGGCAGGATCCTTCATAGCTGTGCGACCAAAGGATTGCTGATCTCGAAGCCGTTGCTTCACCAGGCATACTACAGCATCTTCATCTTGTTGCTGATTGATATCATCGGTGGACCACTCTTCGCATGCCGTTACCAGTGTCGAAGGAATAACGGGCCGAACTCCAGTAACCAATAGGGTTTGATCAACCAGAAGTTGGGGCTCCGATACCGACATTTGTTCAGCAACACGGCTTGGGGATTCATCCAGTGCAAATACAGCAGGAGTGGCCATCATAGCAGGACGGAACACATGAGGGTCATCCTCAGGAGAACAGACCGGACAACAATAAATATGAAGTCTCACATCGTCTTCCATATCCAACCAATAATAAGACGATCGTAACCGCAATAAGCAGGACCGATACATCTGGTGACCCTGATTCTGATGAACCTCATGCAACACACGATCCTTCAAAGAGGAGGGTAAGACCGGGACCAAGTTTGGTTGCATTGAAGGCCCAACGTCCAATCTATACATCAATACTCCCTGCACCATAGAAAATCTTCTAAGCCTAGAAATATATCTAGAAAGGCGTTGGTCATGTTCATAACTTTGTCCAAGCAACCTTCTCCTCAATGGTCCCAAATCACAGTCAGCCATTTGTTCAGATCTCAAAATATCCAAAGACAAGTCGTCCACCAAGCCACATCCCAAACAAAGAGGCGACAACATAGCCGCAGGGTGTGGCGAAGCCTCTCCCTCTTGTACTTGTTCACAACGGGCCGAAGGTGGTCGTGATAAAGCGTCAGCGACCACGTTATCCTTACCAGGCCGATATTGGATAGAAAAAGAATACTGACAGAGGCTCAACATCCAACGCTGTACTTTAGGTGTCGTCGATGTCTCCAAGAACGTTAGAGGTTTGTGGTCCGTGAAGACAATAAGCTCCAAGGGGTAACCCAATAGAATATTCCTAAATCTCTCCAAGGAACGGAAGATAGCAAAAGCTTCACGTTCATATACAGGCCATCGACGTTGAGTACTTGTCAAGGCTTGACTGAAAAAGAGAGGGGGGCTCCATCTTGTTCCAATACACCTCCGATAGCTGCATCACTAGCATCGGTCACCAATTGGAAGGGCCGAAGGAAGTCCGGGTAGTTCAACAACGGCAAACGGGCCAAACCTTCCTTAATGTCAACGAAGGCGACCTCACATTCTTCTGTCCATGGTAGCAAGGCCGACGACTTGATCTTCGTACTCTCAGTAACCAAATCATATAAGGCTCTAGCTCGATCCGAAAAATGTGGAAGGAACCCCCTATAATAATTTGCTAAACCGAGAAACGATCTTAGCTCCGACACCAGGG